CTCGGCGTCGAGCTTGAAGATGGCGTACTCCACCTCGTCGCCCCAGAGCAGCCGGTCACCCTCGATATCCTTGATGCGATTGTAGAGGTGGATGAACTGGGCGATGCCGTGCTCCCGCACGTACCGGATCACCTCGAGAGACTCGTCCCACTCGAGCGGCGTCGCGTCGAGCAGGAAGCCTGAAACGGCGGGGCGGGCTCCATGTCTGCTGTGCCGCATGCTCCGAGCGCGTGTGGGGAGACCAACGCAGGGTGTTTGGGGGCAGGAGGTGAGGGCGAAAGGATTCACCCATGTCTCGAGGGGGTGCCGGGCGCTGCCCGGTGGTCCGCCGTCAAGCCAAGGGAGGCAGGTGTGAAGAATCTTCTCGATTGTTCGTAGATCTAAGCATGTTATAAGCATGTACATCTACATCTAAGCATGTTCTCCGCTTGCTGCTCCTGCTCCTGCTCCTGCTCCTGCTGCTGCTGCTCTCTCTCTCTCTCTCTCTCCTCTGTCGCGCGCGCGCTCTCTCTCTCTCTCTTCTCTCTTCTCTCTCGCTCTTCTCTCTCTCTCTCTCTCTCTCTCTCTCTCTCTCTCTCTCTCTCTCTCTCTCTAGGTAGGTAGAAAGGTGAAGAACAGCCAGGCTCGGACTGGACACCAACGCGGTATGGCTGCTTCAGTGCAAGTCGTGACAAAAAAAAATCAACCCACCCCGCTTGAGGAGGAGCCGTGCGGACAGTCTCAACCTTGCTAGCATTAGCATTGTCGCTCTCGATGCTGAGCAAGCTCTGGGGCTGCAGGCCGCGTCGCGCGGGCCCGCACGACGAGATCCTGGCGCTACGGGCTGACAACGCCAAGCTTCGTGCGCTGCTGCAGAGCCTGACCGGCGCCGAGGGCCTCGCGTCAAACACGATCGACACGCCTCCCAGTCGCCAGTCCCTTGTTTCCGACCGGCGGGCGAGCACGACGGCGGCCTGCCCGGCGGCCACTCTCACCTTTCCCGAGACGAGCGCGCTTCCCCTTCCTCCGCTCATCACCGACGTGTGCAGCGGCTGCGAT